ATCTCTTGATGTCATTTGCACCTCCAAAAAAGATGAATGGTCCCAAAATGCAGACAAAGAAGTACCTGGGCAGCCCTAAACCATCAGCTGTTGAATGACCAGGTGTTTGAAGAAAGAGCTCTGTGTGGAAAATGGTTTGACATGTGACAGCCTCTCAAAGAAGGATCCTCGTTGGCCCCTTCCCTGTCCCAGTGGAAATCCTGTGTCAGAAGCTGCAGGAAAACATCCCAGCAGAAACTCTGAATTTTACTACCATGCTTCCAACGATGTTATTTTTATACATTTTTTCTTTCCTGGGCCTGAGAAGTCTTTGTCGAATTGCACAAGTGAGCTGGCACTAGAAGAAGTTGACTGAGCTGGATCACCTTTTGTTGGTGCAGTGTCTGTGCTTTAACAGTATCTCTCCAACTCCTTTGAGTAGGGTGTGTTGGAGAAGCACTATTTCCGGTGGTGAAAGCACTTCGTATTCCTGTTAGTGCTTGTTCCCATTTTCCATCCATTCTGTCTGTTTGGAGTTGCTTATTCTGAACATGTCATATAAATGCAATGATATAAATATGTAGCCTTTAATGTTCTGTATAATGTTTTCAAGGCTCATGCCTATGGTAGCATGAATTATTTCTTCATTTTTGTGATGGAAAATGTTGTGAATAACCCCACATGTTTGTTGATCCATTTATCAGTTGGTGAACATGTGGGTTCTTTCCAATTTTTTGGCTATTATCAATAATGCAATTATGAACATTTGTATGTATAACCTGTCCTTTTTAAAGTTGATACTTTAATCTATTCTGTAACTTAAAATTTTAAAAGAAAGTGCAAATATAGCTTTTTGCCTCATTGCCTCTGAAAAAGCAAGATGGGTCGCCAGCAGCTCTACTGGAGTCACCCAAGAAAATCTGGCCAAAGTTCTCATTCTTGCCAAGTCTGCTCACACCAACATGGTCTGATCTGGAGATACGAACTCAACACATGCTGTCTGTGTTTCTGTCAGTACCACAGTCATAGGCTTCATTAAGATGGACTAAATGAACGTCCTTGATTAGTCATGGAGATATCTACCTTACAGCATTGCTAGCTTTTTGTACATAAAAATAAAATAACTTCACATCCAGCAATCCCACTCCTAGATATCTATCCAAAATACACAAAAACACTGATTCAAAAAGATACGTGCACCCCCATGTGAACTGCTGCTTTATTTACAATTGAAAAGACATGGAAACAACCCAAATGCCCAAAAGTAGGTGACTGGATTAAAAAGATGTGGTACATATACACAATGGAATATTACTCAGCAACCAAAA